CGAGGGGTATATGAAGTCAAGAAAACAAATTTTCATGGTTCAAGTTTCAAGCAACAGTAATCAAGCAGTATCTGTGTTTGAAGACCAGATAAACTTTAAAACCTAATTTTAATTTTCCTGCAATGCTTGAGAAAACGGCACTTAGAAACTGTAGCTTTCCCGCTTGTATAGGTTCGTGGTATTTTTGCAGTCAACTTTTCGGTTTGCATTTTTTTTTGCACTAAACCTTTGTTATGTTAATAACATTTTTCGGAAACGCAAGAACACAATCTTTTTTTAGCCGACTCAAAAGTCAACGGTAATTTTTAGCCACTTGAAACTTGCACTTAGTTATACTAAAATTTAATGGGCTACAAAACTATGTACATACATTCTCATCAATTAAGAAATCGAATTAAAGAATTTTAGATTCGATGAAAATTCCTCCTTTTTTTGAAGTCGGTAAAAACCAAGTCAATTTTGATATACAAATTTAGGAGTACCGTTAATTTTGTCATCATCCAATCCATTTTTTGAAGTCCGTTAATAAGAAAAATTGTATATGGAAAAAGTATGTAAATAAATAAAATCGTCAAAACGTCAGGGAATGCATATTTTTGACGTTGTCTGTATGTATGTAAATGTTTTATCCTATGTGGTATAAAAATAGCATTAACTATTACAAACCAACCATAAGCGACAAACAGAATGCAACAGAATAAGACTTTCCCTTGCCCTAGATTCTTATTGGGCATTAGCCCAAATTATAGCATGTTAAATAAGTATATAGTTTTGTATTTACATACATATGTATGTAGGTTTATATGTGCACATACACAAAAATGCAATTTGTCGACAATCTCTGGTATTTTTGGCATTATGCATAGATTTATGGTTTGTCTAGAAGAAGCGTGTAAGCGATTTCAAACATTTTCCATTAATTATATGCTGATTTAGACTTAAAGCATTTTCGTTTCTACAAAAAATATTGCCTTCTCATCGCCCTCTTCTTAGTGTTTGTGTGTAGAGGGCAAAGAGAAGGTTGCATTTTTCGGTAGAAACGAAATCGGCATTAATGATATAGTTGAACCATGTTTAGTAGAAAGACAAAGTGGTTACCGAGATACACCTTTGTAGTCATAAAGTGGGTGGTGCCACGCCCAATTCCTAAAAGTCTATATCAGTCTTATTTATTGTTAAGAGATTACTGTAAATATTAGCTTAGAGTAAATTAGCGTCCTCAGTTAACGAAATTTCGGAGTTTTCATATTTCTGAAATTTACCGTTATAAGGAAAGCGGGTGTAATTTTAATCCGATTTGCCATGCCCATTATCCAAAACTTTATAATAATACAGTTTTACGCAAAAAGGTTATTGCAATCATCGATTTTAAGTGAATTAGCTTCAGTAGTTGCTGCTTTATTTCAGTTTTCGTGTTTCTGTAAATTATCGTTATATGGCAAGTGGGCGTGGTTATTGCCCGATTTCAAATATTTTCGAAAAAAATCTTAGTTAAGACTCTAGGCAAGGCTCGTACCGAGCTTGGTAATATACTCTGTATCGACGGGATAGTTAACTTTTTTATTTCGAATTTTAATAGGGTTGCACCTGTCTAAAAAACTATAAGATCCGCACCGTTCGTTTGATTACCAAAGATGAGGTGTGAAGTGTAATTTTTACCGTGGCTCTACGGTATTTTTACCGTGGATCTAGGGTAATATGTTACCGCGGATCTACGGTAAAAGTTACCGTGGCGCGTGTGTGTAGCCACTGCCATTAAATAAACTAAAGAGAAATAGGAAAAAATTTGTTAAAATGTCGTGTCCCTATTTCCCCGATTTATTTACGTCCATAAACCTAGCTGACCCAAGTCGCCAAAAATCAATAAAAATTTGCTAGTAATTAGGTGGCTTTTAGGTGTTAATTAGGGCCTCCAAAATTAATTTAGGTGTTCCATTGGTTTCCGAGAAATTCGCAAAAATGTGTGGGTCAGCTAGGTTTCCGAATTTCTCGGAAACCAATGGAGCTACTAAATTAGTTTTAGTGGCGTTGAAGAACACCTAAAAGACACCTAATTCCTAGCTAATTTTTATTGATTTTTGGCGACTTGGGTCAGCTAGATTTATGGACGTGATTTATTTTATACCATTGTATTTGTACATATACATATGTATCATACCCATACTAACCTTTTGCATGGATTCAACTTTCGTAAAGCTCCAGTGTAGAACTCAATTTCGCATTGGCTCATAAATTTCTGCACATTTTTTTGGCATTCGAATTTTTGGTCACACCGATATTTGCACTTTAAAACACTGCTCTGCTTTCTCTTTTATATTTTTTAAAACACATACATTTAATTCCTTAGAAAATCCGATTCTCACATATTAAGCCAACACAAAATTAAAAAAAAAAAACTGGTTATGCATTCTACACACTTCATATCTGCTGCTGGCGCGTAACTGGAGCCTCAAAACTGGGTTCGCAAATTGCTTTCAATGGCTTCATGTTTGTTCAAGTTTGTTTCGTGCCCATATGTACATGTGTTTATGTTATCGAGCACAAATGAAATTTTAAACTGAGCAAAGTCTAAATATAAAATATCAAAAATTACTATTTTCTAAAATTAAGCTACGTTTTTCAATGCAATCGAGTCACTGGAGACTCCACACTGGCTTCGTAATTTGCTTTCAATGGCTTCATGTTTTTAGTTTGTTTTCTCTCCCACGGTATAAATGTTTGCAGTTATCGTACACAAATAAAATTTCCAACTGAACAAAGTCAAAATATAAACAACTACCACTATTTTCTAAAATTGAGCTGCATTTTTCAATGCAATCGTCACTGCATAAACAAAAAACACGAATGGAAAAGCAAAGAAAAACAAAAATATCCGCCGCGCAAACCACGACGTTGCTGCCAGAGAACTTGATTGAATTAATTTTCTGGCTGTCAAATAATCTGACGTTCTCTTTATAAAATAATAACGTCCCAAACCGGTTCACTTGATGCATTTGGTCCCAAAACGACTTCGGTACAGTGTTGCCAGAGTAACTCCCTGAAATATCTTAATTTTTTCACAAAAAAAATCTTTCTATTACAAAATATCTATATTTAAATACACCTCCAAAGAAACGCATAATTCGATATTGGTTATTTACCAGCCGACTTCACAAGCATACTTTTTCTCGCATACCGAGCGGTTTGCGAGATCTCGCATGCTTTCGGCTATCATTTTTGTTGTCTGACATTTCCCACAACTCTTCAGAAGAGAAACGTTCAGCCTTATAGGGCTTTCGCACGAGGCGATTTTGAGGCAACTTTTGTGTTCAACTCACGCAGGGTTGCACGAAAAAAAACTTGAATGGCTAAAAATATCAAAATATTCGCCATAAAAGGGGATCTGTATTGTTCAACTTTGCATTCTACTTTTGGTTGAACGGCCTTTCAACTAATCGCTTTCAACAAAGTTGGTCGAAAGCCAACATTTAGCCATTCAACTTTTTTTTCGTGCAACCCTGCGTGAGTTGAATACAAAAGTTGAACGCAAAATCGCTCGTGCGAACACCTTCTTATCATGAGTTTCATTTTCCCCGAACCGGTTCACTTTTCACTCTCGGTTTCCATGGTTTTACTATGGGCGGATGACAAATTTTCCGGTGAATTTTTTTTCAGGCGGAACTCAGGATAAGGCAGTTTGTTTATTTTGGTGGAAAATACAAATTTGGCCTGAAAAGCTCGAACCTTCTCTTTTGGCATAATTTTACAAATGAAAATGTATGCTGTCAAGTGCCCAGTCAACAAAACTCTTTCTCGCTTGCGATACAAAAAAGGAGAACGCGTGCGAGATTTTCAAGCATGTGAAGACGGCCGGTTAGGAATG